TTTATTATATATGTAATTGTTATACTGTCAAGATATTTTAGTACTCTTATTTCAATAATTTTTACATATATTCTTATAATAATTAAATATAATGAGCGACGTTTAACAACGGAGCGATATTACGAAATGTATCTCGGATTTTGATGTCAATTTTTTTGGTAATTCTAGAGACAAAAAATATATGTGCCTTAATTTGCGTTATTTATTTGGCGATATTCAAAAATTAATATCTCATTAAATATTGCGAATTTTGCAAAATGGTAGAGGACTTTTCGATTCAGTTTAGTCCATTCTATCTACCATGAACGGTCATACACCTATTAATTGAGACACCCTGTATAGATTGCTCAGACTTGCTCAGACGATTGGACATTTATATTATACTTGATCATACAATTTATTATCAAAGAAAAACAAAGGAATCTTTTTATATGTTTAATTTTTTGTTTTAACCTGAATGTACTTTAATCTACATCCATTTTTGAAAATTGTGAATAGAAAAGAAATTATTGTGAAATAAAAAATATATTATTGTAAAATAAAATTAAAAATGCTAAATATTATATATATCGTACATGAGCATTCTAAATATTTAATGTATATATAAATATGTATTGTTATTCTTTTTGAGATAACAAAATAAATACACTGTAATGAATTTTTGTACTTATATCCAAGATTTTATTATCCAATATATTATTATATATTTTATTTCATTACAGCTACTTATATTTGTATTATTTTTTTATTATGGCAAAAAAACTTGTTTTACTTTATCCAATTGTGCATGGCTTTACTTTTGCTACTGTGTGAATTGTTGCATGTTTTTTGTTGTTCCCTTTTCAGTTATCCGATCTGTTTATATCTCATACTAAAATATCGTCGTAATAGTTTGGTTGTTATGACATTGGGGTACAATAGATGTTGCTCATACATATTGTAGGGATTGTACAAATGTATCATACACATTAACTTTTTCAGTTCTCAAGAGATCTTCTCTAACTATTCTAAATGTAAGTTCAGCTTTCCATTGCTTTAAATGCTTGTTCAGACACTTGGGTTAAACAATCATCTTTGTAAGCATTTAATGTTAATTGTGAAGAGTCCATATGGATGTGGTTCTTTCTCCTGCCATAGCAATGCGTTGTAACACGTATTACATATTGTACATACGTTTTTTAAACTATTCAATATACTTCCTGCCATATCATATAATATTTGTCTCTCCCACATTGAGAAATAGGAAATATTTTCATCAGCCACAATAGGAATTTCTATACATAGATTGAGTCCAGGATTGTTATATGTTGTATATTGTGAATTTGTCAAAAAATCAAGAGTCATTTTACCGTCGTCTGCATCATAGCTACTTCTTTCGCTTGTACAAAATTGTGCAGTTGAAATAACTTTCAGTAGATTTTTAAACATCAAAACATTGGGTATTGCTTGACGGAATCTGATACAAGAAAAAAGATTTTCTAAGAAATCTTGACTGGAAGAAATCTTCCAGTCAATAAAAACTTAAATCCTTTTTCATCAAGAAAATATTCTTGTAAATCTAAAATAGCACTCATGGCAATTAGGACTCCACACTGCACTTGTTTCCATCGTAAATCTGTTCCAATAGCCATTCCAGAAAATATTCTCATAGTTAGTTTTAAGGGGTTAGGCCAGTCTAGGATTTTAAAAAAATCGAAATTTTTTTTTTTTTGGCTTAAAGTACACTTTAGGGTCCTAAAAACATTATTCAATTGGTAGAATAGTGAAAAAAAAATTTTTTCCCTGTCCAATCCGCTGTAGTGTCGAAGCGTTCGGAGCGGGCGACGAGAGCATTTTCTACCCGCGGCGGGCTTCCTTTTGTCCCCTTTTTATGACTCTTACCCTCTGTACTAACGGGGCCTGAGGGCTCTAATGGTTCCCCAAAAGGTCGTTAGGAAGTGCTAGAAGAAGATGAGTTCCACGTGTCCATGGAAGGTGAAATGTACGGCGCAGGCATCGCAGACTAAAGTCACTAAAGGTATAACAAAATTTTCAGCACGTAAAACTTTAAACGCGTTTTTCTCGAAACTGCATTTTTCAAATCGGGCGACGATGGTACTCGGAGACTATCGCACGTATCCACTTGAAATTTTAACTGTAGCTTCACAGTAACATTATCTAGTAAACTACGTACGATTTTTTTGTTATCATTGCAACTTTTTTTTTATAAACAATTTACCGCTTATTTTTTTGGTCAAAAATTGAACCTTTTTTTTACAAGTCCGCCATTTTGCGAAAAATTGATGTAAAGCTAAAAACATACGTACTTAATTACTAGCAAGTCTTATGTAGATTAAGATCCCGTTCTTTATTTTGTTTCAGATAGCACGAGTTCCTAGAATCACCTAAATTTGGTTACCAATTTGTGCTTGTCACTCTTCTGACGGTCGCCCGTAGAGGCCCTCTTGAAAAAGGTGATTCCGAAGATTGGCCCAGTAGCCGCCATTTTGTATCAAAATGTCAATATAAAAATTTTTTTATACACTCAAATACATGTTTAATAAAGCCTGAAAGAGGGAAATTCGATTCCTTTTTCCTTACTCCCAGAATAAATTGTCAAAGTTAGGCCTTTTTTGAGGGCTCTAGACTGGCCTAACCCCTTAAATGAGATATAGCCTTTTCATATGCTTTTTAGTATTTTTATTTAATGCTAAAGTATAATATCTTGAAGTCATCAGATCAAACCAATGATTAACCAAACGCACAAACCAGGCAGTTGTAATATAACATGGATCTTGTTTTACAAGTGCTAAAAGTTGAAGAGCAGACGATGAATGCTGGCAAAAGATGGATTTAGAAGTAGAAACTTTCATCTTATTAAAATGATTATTTCTATCTAAATTTTTTTTTTATTTTGTAAGCAACGTTGAGTTCCAAATTTTTCTCAGTATTATAGATTTCAAGGAAATGTTCCAATTTAACTTTATTTGAAGGAAGATTTTCAGATTCTACATATCCTGTGGCAAATAAAGGACTTTATTGTTTACAATAATTGATCTAATGAATTTAAACAGATGAGGAACATCTGGCATTATATATAATCGAGATGAAGATCTAACAGGATGAGGTATACTAGATATCACTTCAGATCGATTTGCCATAAACCTTCCACATGCTTCTATTGTCAGAACCCATATCACTCACAACACAATGAATACGTAGGCCAATTCTTTCACCACGTTCTATGATATCTTTAATTATGTCTGCATATACTTGTCCTGTAGCATTTTGCTTTGCATCTTTTGGTTTAGAGCCAGTTAGGTGAAAACAGTTTGTTTCCATCGAACATTAATGCCACCAAGAAGAAAGACCAAAACTTTGTTAGCGATACCGGAATGAGAAGCAAGTGTAGTTCTTCCAATAAATTCTTTTGTACTAGGATCAAACATTTCTCCTGGTTCAATAGACATTTCATCTAGTGCTAGTACACAATCTTTCCAACCTTCTGTATTATGTTTAATTTATTCCGCAAGTAAATCAAAAGTTTGTTGTAAAATTCCTGGTCTGAATTCAATGTTTTTTTTTTTCTTTGTAAAGTCCGGATAGATGGCAAAGGAATGTGTTTCTATACTTCTTTGTAACCTGATGATCCACATTTTGATCTTAAAATTAAAGCCTGTTTCACAGTACTTGATTCCCATTGTACACTTTGGTAATTATTTCTGTAAATTGCATTCTTTATTAAAGATTTTCAATACGTTTTTATCTGTTTCTTTTTTATATTAGTAAAAATTTTTTTTTCTCGACGTAACTTTTTATTACTCTTTCGTAGCGTCTCATTTTCTTGATGTATCTTATCACCAATTTTCTTAACTCTTACCAATTCGTTTTTGAGTTGTTCATTTTCCTTTTTTAAAGACATAGTTATAATATCTATATTTTGTTCTTTAATAGTTTCAACAGTTATGGCATTTTCAACTTTTTCCATTAACTCCAAAAGATTATTCAAAGCATTACTTGGTGTAATAGTACATATATTTGTAACATCTGAATTATTTAACAAAATATCAGGGTTTCTATTATCAATAAGATTTGACTTAATTTCTGATGTTTTTGATCATTTTTTTCTGCTGTACTTGTTGAAATAATTACAGATGTTTTCTTTATCTGAAAATATAAAAAATTGAATCAAAGATCAGGAATCAGGAATTTTTGAATTTACTAGAGTGATAATTATAAAATTTCAAAGACAACAAATGTATAAAAATATCAGAAAATAACTTACTGAACTATCAGCTAATGTTAATAAATTTTTATTATTGGAGACTGCTTTACTTGCATACGTGTGATCACAACTAGATAAATGTGACTTATTTCTTTCCATCCTGTTAGTAATATCTTTCAATGTTCGTGAATAGGTATGATCATTTGCAGATATCTGCGCAAGATTATTAAAAATAGAAGGCACTGCATCGAATTTAAGCTTTCTTTTTATCATTTCTAACTTTCTCCCAAGAAGAAACGTCAAAATGCTCCTGGAAAAAATATAATAAAAACAAAACAAAAGGAACATCTTATAAAAAATATTTTAGTTATATAAGTTGTAACTCACAGAGCATACAACTGATGAATTCACAGGCTGCCAAGAATATCCATTTATTTGCCTCACATTAGTGATCCACATACCCTGCCGAAAATGTTCGATTACAACTGATTATAAAAAAAGTTATCCGAATCGATCGGGATTTCTGCACCGAAAATATGGTATCAAAAAGGATTAAAATCCTTTGGTCGAACCAAAAATGGTCGATCCAAAATTTACTGATTGATACATGAATATATCATGTCAAAATTAATTATATAGTTCAACTAATAATAAAATTCATATATATTTTATTATTCTAAATGTAATATAGATCGGAAGAGCACACG